CACTTAACATGGTCCGAATAATCATCATTTCAGTTCCATTATGAACACTCGCAAACAATAGTGTTTAAGTTTAATCTTATCCTTACTTTTTACGTAATCGCTCTAGAATAACTACGTTTTGTGTTTAAATTCGTGTAAACCTGTCAGTTTTCTAAGTATGAAAAAATATTTTGTCCACAACTAACAGTTTAAAAGTTATGTTAATTGTTTAGACGATAAAATTTAATTTTGCAAAACGATTTTTGGTTATAAAAAGGATTTGAGAAACTTTCTTTGGTGTGTATTAAAAGTAAAAGTTTGCCTGTCATAAAATGACGTTTAGCGCAGAGACCCTGTGGGCAACTTTGTTAACGGGCACAAAAAAATGTACTACGGATGTGGTGCAGACGATGAAGCGCTTATAGGAGGAAGCAGACTTAAATGTAGTTAATCCCAATAATATCTCGAGTACCCCATGCTTCTCATTCGCGTCGCTAAGAAACAGGCTGATCATATAAGGACGCATATAAGGATATAAAATCAAGAACTTAAGACAGAACACTGGTTGTTAAAATATAGGAATATTGAGCCCAACACACAAATCCTAGTCTATACGAACTACGTGATCTACAAAGCATTGAGGACTGTTCATTTCAAAGTTTACTATATACTTAGAAAGGCATCCTTCAAAACAACCAGAGGACTCCAATCTGAGTCCTTTAAGCGAACCTCCAGCATAGTAAGGCAACTTCAGTAGAACTTACTATTATTATGGTATAATACGGTTTAATGTAGTTTTGATAAGAGCCCTGAGTTTACAAGGGCCAAATAAGGGGTCTATCGGGCATTGGTGGAGAGCTTATTTATAGCCGATATCCCGAAGTTTCGAGGGCCATATATTATATAATATAATAATCAAATGACATATCAAAACACTGCTGTTGATGAATCTCTGTTCCAGGAATTTAACGAAGAAGATACAAAATTCCACGAGGAAACTAAGTTCCTGTAGCTGGCTGTATACCATATATCACAAAAAATTGTTTAAAATCCTTTATAAAAGGTATATAAAAATGCCCCAAACGGGCTATCAACAAATACATTGCAAAACGTTTTCGGATTAATCAATCCATCATCAGTGCAAACGGTTGTACATGCTAGTAGCCACCAAAATATATGGGTCAAAACCCTTTAAATGTTTTAAACTTGTAGTTGTTTTACATTATTAGTAGTTATAATTTGTGATGTTTAAGTTACCGTTGGATAGGTAACATGTCGGCGTATGACTCTACATGAGTAAAATGGTCCTGAGACGAAGTGTCTACGAGGACCTGTTGATAACAACTCAAGAAGAAGAAGAAGATACGATCATAGAGAGATTAAGTTCAAAGGGCATAATTCTCGGATCAGCATATTTCCCATATGATGATCGCCTATAACCATCGCCAAGGGAGTTGGAAGAGCTAGTGAGAGATTACAGGAAAAATGGATTGCAATTGATCATCGATTGTAATGCAAACTCACATCATGTTATCTGGGGTAGTACAAACACCAATTAGAAAGGATAATCCATTACAACAGATTGTTACGGATTATGATTTTTTAGATATTCTAAACGTAGTAAATAAACCAGCTTTCGTAACTTTACAATTAAAGGAGGTAATTGATGACAGTGGCCTCGATCCACATTGCCAAAACTGTTAAAAATGGCACGTGTCAAATTGGATCTCTTATTTAGACCATCGACATATTTGTTTTTAAATGACAGGTAAAGTAGTAAAACAGACAGAGAAGCATATCAAGCATACCTGTAATATTATTTAGGCAAGGTTAAAAAACGATAAGGCATACTCTGAACCTAGTCGTAGTTGTCAAACAATTTCAAAAGGTTGTCGTCCCAGTGTTCGAAGGCAATAATTGTATCATGATATTGAGGGGTTCTAACAGTAAAGTACCTTGGTGGAATGACAACCTTGCAAGTTAAAAGATATAAGTCAGACGAAAATTTAATTTCGCCAAAAGATTAGGGAATTGGGCGATTATCGCAAAGCTGACTAAATGATAAGGAATTAAGAAAGGCACGAGAAGGCATTGCCAAGAGATGGAATCGCCTAGATATCTCAAGGCTCCATAAAATTCTCTCAAAGTACCCTAAGGTAAGTATTCCTTCACTTCAAAGAAGTCAGGTGAGAAGTACACTGAATGGTGAAAAAAGCACTTTTCTGAGTATAAAACAAAGCTGATACCACCTTACACATGGCAGCAGACTGAACTGTGGGCACCATGCCTTATGGTTCTAAGAAAAACTGGCGTGGGGCAAAAGAGTGGTAAGTATGGAAGTAGTTAAGGAAATTAGTTATATAAAAAATTACTTATGATACTACAGGCTAGCTTAGGACTGGTGAACATACTAAAAGCATGTATGTTTATAAGGGTTGCTTTTATAGCCAAACTTGTCAAAATTCGACAGAAAAAACTGATCTATGGGCATATTGGGGATGATGTATTGGTTGAAAGTCCGATAAATCATTATGCGTATCGAGCAGAAGTTTCTACAGAAACGACACTGCACCATCTCATACTACAGCAGGTGAAGTTTGTTCTGGAAAACTAAGAGATAATTCGCTAACATCTACAAAATAATCACAAGGGCGATTCGTTTAAAAGGAATAGACAAAACAAGCAGCAGATGGATGGACTGCATGCTGAGGAGCCGTGTGATATACTCAACGTTATTGATGGATACAGCGTCAGCACAAATAGCCAGAGGCTGTCTGCAGAGAGCATAATCTTATCTCAACTTTGATTAAATCTGGTCCTGGACGGACTGATAGTTAGACTAAGCAACCACAGGCATCATGCACTGGGCTATGCAGATCACCTGGCCATCTTAGCTCACGGTAAATTTAACGGCACACTCAGAGAAAGAATACAACAGGCTATGACTTTAGTTACAGAATGATCTTAAATGTAGGACTCCAAAATTATAAAATTTAATAGAGGGATTTGGTCCTGTAATATTAAATGGTATACATTTAAATTAAAAGTAAAGTATCTTGGGGTAATAGAATACTCAAGGTTCACTTGTAATAGTGATAGATAATACGATTAATCGTAGCTATAACTACGTTAATGATAGCCAGATGCACTCATTGAAAAATCTGGGGCTTAAAACAAGACAGATATATTGGATTTATAGCATGATGGTAAAACTAATTGTAGTACATGCAATTACATAGGCATCAGTGGTATGGTAGCCAAAGATGCAGCAAAAAAGTGCCATCAGTTGCCAAACTCAGCAAGGTGGATATTTTTGCCTTGGAATCACAGGGGTATATAGGGAATCACAACGGCAGCTATGAAGGCTCTACTGTAACTTTCCATTTTTATCATCAACAGTGGTGCTAAGCCCTAACTGAGCCTCGATCTTCCTCAGTATATTTCGCCAGTCTGGGGAAGGCCGAATGGTATTTTACATACTGTGAGAAAACTACAAAGAAACATAGTCTAAAACTGCAGAAGAGTTGAATGCAGGAATATTCAGTATTGGTAGAAATTTCAACATTTCAATTCCACTAGAAGAGTATACCTCTGTATTTCAGGTAGAGATTTTTGCAATTTTGTAGTGTGCAAGTGAAATTAGCATGAAAACTTTCGAACTGAAGTAGATCATTATATGAACGGATAGCAAAGCAGCTATGTGCGATCTAATAAGCCCTAAGATAGGCTCTAAGCTGTTGTGGCAACACCGAGAGAACAGTGTCACACTGATATGTGTTTTAGCTCACTGGGCAATAGACGGCAACAAAAGATCTGATTAACTTATCAGAACAGCATTAGCTACAGAATACTTCGTTTCAGGGCCTGGAGTGAGAGTGCCAAAAGTATTGTCCGCCAACGAAAAAATCCAGGATACGAAGACAGCAACATAACTCTCAAGGGAAAAATATACCTCGTTAAGTACATAAAGTACATAGCAAAATGCGACATGTGATAAACTGAAGTACTGCGAAAAACTAGCAGAACTAGCACCTGCATACAATGTGGCTGTTTCATGCAGATTCTATAACAGAGAACCTGAAACAGTACAGAGTATCTTGCATAACTCTAAGGTATTAGATCGCAAGCAGCAAACACTTTTCGGAGACTATCGAGTGACTCCAAAAATATATGGAGACCATCCTTATTCTTATTCATTTCGGTTTTTGGCTGTAGACCCTGTTTCCTATTTTCTTTCTCTTATAGAAGATCTTTATTATTCTACCTTTTCCAAAAATGTTTCTCTAGTTTTAATTCTACAGTTTTTTGCAGTATATATGCTGAAGAGTTTTTATCAATATTTAATTTTGATAAGATTGTCATTTTTAATAATTATTTAGTTTGCTCCTCTCGTCGAGTGAAACCCATGTTGCTCTATGTATATCTTTACTTGGAAGCATAGTATTTCTTATCATTAAATTCTTATATACAGTAAAATTAGTAGGGCTTAAGTCATTGTCGTTGCATTTTGAAACGGAAACTTTCTTTTCTACAGCTGCTTTTAAAAACATTTTTAATATCATATACCTCTGTCAGTTTTACCGTATCTTTTAAAACCTTCTTATTGTCTCCATTGTCATCTTTTGTTGGTGCATGTAAATTGATTAATGCGATGTTAAAAAAGCGATCTTTAACTTTCTAGGTATATATTCTACTGTTAACATCTTTAAATTTTAAAATATTGCTTGTTGTCCTTACCCGGTCGTCATATTTACCCTAAATAAAGTACGTGGACTTATATATTTATGTCTATTATTACTTTCTCTTCGGTGAATATATAACACATCAAAAGACCATGACTTATGTTTCTGACCTTTTTATCTTAACATTATCTTCATTCTATATAAGAAAGACATTGATATAAATATATGTCGCCTTGAATTGGTAATTTAAACTGAAGCCATCTTTAATGATAAATTTTTATCTTCAGGTTATGTTATTAACGCACCCATATTTGATAATAAAAATTAAAACAAAATTAATTACACTGTACAGTTTTATATAAACTTAATTAAAATAAATACAGAAATTATCTTATACCTAAATATAAATAAGTCAATTAATCTAGATAAGCAATTTTAGTTGCCCACTCTAATGTCAATCTGTGGAATAGTTGATCCTGATTCTGTTGAAGAACTAACACTTGGGTTTTCACTGGAATTTTCGGGTGGTGTTTTTGTAGGATTTGGTCGGCCGTTGTTGTGAGAACAACCATGAGGGTAACTACCATCGGGATAATGTGGATTGCCGTGTGGATTCCATGGTTGATGTTGGGGGTGATATCCCGGTGGGCCATAGCCAAAGTTGGGATGATTCTGACCTAAAAAATAATTATTTCTTTTAGAACAATATATTGCTGATTACTGGTTTGAAGTATTTGTAATATATTGTGATATACCAAAAAATTCATTAAAACAATTATATTTGTTATGTATTATATTTAAATAGTCATTTGAGTTCATTATGGATTTTCATTATTTGGAAAGGATATTCAATCCATGATGATAATTTTTGTTTATTTCTATACTTTATTTCACGATAAGAACGAAACTTTTGGCTTATCCAGATCAGTGTTGCCAAAACTCTTAGGCGCGTGTTGGTACTAAACTGTCGATATACGAGTCATTCCAATCAGAGCCGTATTCAGCACTGTGTAGATGAAGTTAACTTAATTTCACTAGCGGATACGTATAGTTAAATACAAAATAATGCATTCTAAATACTTGTTTCTTTAATAGACAGATATAGGTATGTAATAGGTCATAAAAAGAGTTAAAATTTACTACTATTGTTTTTATTAACCCTTTAGATAAGATTTAACAAAAATATAAAAAACAAGTGCAACTTTTATTTCATATAATAACATGTTTAAAATAGTTTTTCCAATTGTTCACTGTTACTATACCAAATTCATCTCTTATTACTTAATTCTTCTATTGCGACAGTCTTAAACTCGATCCAACAACTCAGATCTGAGTTGTGAGGCAATATGTGGCTTGACTCCATACCTTTTCAATTGAATTCAACTCACAATGGTATGGAGGTAGTTTCAGAATGGCAACATTTTTCTCTTTGCACATCTCGTCGATTGTATGTTTTACGCATTCTTATTTTAATATGTTTACGACTTCCATAAGCTCCTTGGGAAAGAATTTTTTTATGTCCCGCAAACATTGATATCCCCATTTCAGAATATGAAGCCGTTCCATCACAATCGACTTTACTCCTCATTTGCAAAAAATAAAGTTCATTTCATGAAATATACTCCTCATTGATTTGCGTGACATGTTTGCTAAATCTTTGTCTTTTTTAACTAGTTCAAAAACTAAATAATATTATCTTTTGTGCCTAAATAATATTTCATACATATTGATCCTCCTCAATCCTTTAGCCCTTGTCAGGGCGTAGTGACACCCTAAATATTATTAGTCTGCTGTCTCCATTGACTGCGATCTTGTGCCATATGGACGGCTTCATGTAGGGATTTTCCCACCAAACTCTTCATTTGGTCCACCCATCGTATTGGAGATCTTCCTCTTGGTCTTCGGTCTTCTACCTTACCTTCTACTACCAATAGTTCCATGGTGCCCGTTCTTCTAGCTATGTGGCCGAAGTAAGTTAGGTATGCTTGGTTTACTTTTTTTAGTAGCCTGTCTTTTATATGAAGCTCTTCCAGAATTGACAAGTTGGTTCTATGTTCTGTCCAGGATACGCGTAGAATTCTTCTATATACCCACATTTCGAAGGCTTCGATCTTACTCCTATCGATTTTTTTAAGAGTCCATGTTTCAGCTGCATATGTAGCAATGGGAAAAATAAGAGCATTGACCAACCTAAGCTTAGTATTCCTTGTTATTGTTCGGTCTTTCCATATTTTAATTAATTTAGCAGTTGCGGTTCGGGCCATTCCTAGTCTACGTTTGATTTCTGAGGAACAATCACCATTGTTGGTTATCAGAGAGCCCAAGTATACAAATCTGTCGACTACTTCGAAAATCCCTATTTGGCGTATATGCGGTAGATTATTATTTGCTCTGTCTACAATCATTAGATTACATATTGATACATATCAATAAATATATTTTTTTCAAAATTTATAATTAAACACTGACATAATGATCACTTTTTGAACTTGATTTTATCATTACATACTTTTTAGTAGATCGATATAGAATTTCAGTAAACAGTAAATCAGTAAATTGAAGTTACAATCAGTAGATCTACTGAAAAATCAGTAGACCTGCTAACCCTAGGAAAGGTAGTAATTGGTAACGTACAGGCACTAAAACATGGTGGTCACATCGAAACTGGCTTCACTTTTCGAAGGTTTATTAAATGAGTGTTACCTCTCTTTCCATGTCGAAGGTCCCACTCTTCTCTAATGACTAGTAGGCAACTTACTATACACACAGCAAGTCAGTTTATGATTTGTTTAGTTGCCAGTGACACGTTGAAGTAATAGGTGTGGAGGTAGCTGTAGTAAAGGATAAATTGTATGAAATTTTTGTATTAGTTTGCTATATAGTTCTGTTCCTTCATTTTAGTAAAATAAAGTGTCTTCAGCCTTACAGCAGTCATCACACTTTCGGAGTACGGTACGTGCGATAGTTAAATACGGACTAGTAGGAGAGAGGGGTTTTAGTTTGTACGCAGGATAACAGGAAGGCATCCGTTTGTAGGACCTCCTTCTAGGGGGAAATGGGATCGGATGTACTCCTCTACCCTGAGTCCAACACACGCCAGCCATCGCTAGGGATGGGTTAACCTGGTACGGTTTTTAGAAACCCTTAAAAAAGATTTCAAACTCTCGATTTCCACCCTCAGAAAAGCAAAAAAATGGAAAATGGCACTTCATATTTAAGAATAGTAAAATTTAGATTAGCATAAAAAGAAAAGTCTATGATAGTTGCTTAGTACCAGTAGCCACATATGGATTAGAATCTGTTGCTATGATAAAAAAGTCAGCATAGAAATTGAGAGTAACTCAACTTATTGAAACAAGCAATCTTCTTCCGAATAGAAAACTCATTCAATATGAAAAGAACAAAAATCACTGATAAAATAGAAAAAATTACCAGTCTTAAGTTGAATGGGCCTGACACGTAACCAGGCAGAAGATGGACAAGCGGGCACTCAGAGCGATAATAGGTATAGAGATCACGTATGATAAAGAAAGACCATCGCTAAGATGATTAGATGATATTCTAAAAATACTTGGGACAAAACAATTTGATGAATATTATATTTCTAACCTTTTTTATTAACGACAAAATACATAAAATTAGTGTATAATTATTGTCGTCAAATATTGTTTTCCAATAAATAATTTGGGAATCCGTTTTTTATTAAAATTCAAACTATCAGCTATAAAAAAATATTAAGAGTATATTTATTATAATAACCGGAATTCTATTTGTAGTTTTTCTTGTGTTTATATAATGGTTATTAATTTTGTTTTTCGTTATAAATTATAGGAGGTCTATCGTTTCGCGGATGCGTAAAATTTGAATTTTATAGAATTAATTAAAGGTGTAGAACAAGCTTATTTCAGTTTAAGGAATAAGAAAGCATTTAATCTATTTCTAACAAGGTATTTAACTTTAAATTCATGTTCAATGTTCGTACTTTCGGATCTTCTTTTTATAATTTATTTTGTGATGATGTTCGTATATTATATATACATTGTATGTATAAAGTAAGAGGCAATAAATACCATGATTATCCAGGGAAAAGCAGAAGGTAAGATATGGATGGGTCATAAAAGAATCCTATAATTGAGGAATATAGGAATGTGACGCTTAATTTAGTAAAATAAAAGACAATACAGAAACCAACATAAGCGAGAATCCCAACCAAACCTTTTTTTTTTCCTATTTTTTTTTCTTTATTCAGACCATACTATAGCAAACTCTCCTGGACTTAATTCGGATAATTCATTTTCAACATCACTTTCAGAAAAACTTAAATTGCTGCTACTATCATGAAGTGATATTTGCGCGTCCGAGTTAGAAGAATATTCATATTCCTTTTTATTTAGTATATTTTGTTTTTCTTCAAATACTTTTCTTACTATATTTTTATTTTCCTTAATGCTTTCCTTTCTTTTTTTCTCGTTTATTTTGTTTTTCTTCTCCAGCTCTGAGATTTCCATTTGCTCTTTATGTGGAGTAGATGTCAGTAGTGTAGATTTCAATCCTTTTCTTGTTCGTTTTCTCTTTTTGGTTAGTTTTGGCAACGGAATGATATCTGACGGTAACGTAGTAGACATTTCATTTTTCGAGCTTCCAGGTTTTGATTCCAAGTTACTTAAAATGCTAGCTCTATCTGGTAAATTTTCAATATTTCGTTCTTCTGCTTCACCACTTGGTTCTTCTGCTTTATCATTTTCCTGACTTTTGTCTTCGTCAAATACAATCCTTAATTGTGTATCTTTATTATTTCGGTCAAGATCATCTACTTTTTCTTGCTCTTGTTCAGTTACTGAAGAAGGTAAAAAATCTTCCTCAGTAAAGATATTTTCATCTAAAGGGAAAATACCTGTCATTTTAAATCCATTAACAGCTTTTTCTATAGTAGCAGTTTTCTCATAGGCCTGCTTGAATAATCCAGCGACGTGGTATTCAGTGACTACTTGCCCGGGATTAGATGTGGTCCAATTATTACACAAATCATCATAGTAAGCTTTTAATGGACTAAAAAAGTTTCTGTTCAGTGGTTGAGTTTGATGGCTGCTATGAGGTGAGAGGCTGAGCAAATGGATGTTATTATTTTTTGCGTAAGTGATAGCCTCTAAAGTGGTATGGGATATGTGGTTATCCAAAATTAATAGCAGTGGACTTTCAGCGGTAGGATTTGTATATTTGCGAAGTGCTCCAAAAATTGAAGAAACTTAACTGAATTCATGTATCCAGAATCAGTTACAGCCAAAACAGAACCAGATGGAGCCTCCTTTATCAAAAGAGGATTTAGTCTTTTGCGTGCGAAAATAAAGAATGGTGGAACATAGTGTCCTTTTGCACTCATAGAACATGCAGCTGTCACAGTTCTTCCTTGCTCTGCAGCTACATTTTTTGCTACTTCTTTTTTTTCCAGTGGGAGCAACATGTTTAGGTAATTTATTTGGTACTGTTTGTAGACCACTCTCATCCATGTTGTAGATTTTATTCGCTGGAAATTTATATTTCTCCAAGACAGATTTTAAATTTTGAAAATACTGTGTCAATTGATGTTTGTTGAACCCCATGGTCCTAGCTACACTGGTTTTTCGTGGTATGCGTAGTGAAAAGCGGTTTCGTTTCATAAAATTTCTAGTCCAATCTC